TACTTATTCGTTACGTATTGTCTTTAAATTCGTCCCATAATGATCCGTTTGTGAACCAACTATTTAAAAGGCTTGTTGCAAAATACACGATGAAGAAACTCCAAACCACCAAAAATGATTTTTACCTACACACGTATCCTGCTAAAAGGAAACTATATCTAGAAATACGTTTTCAACCGAACTCGGAGAAATTTTCATTAAATCGAGGAGAACGGAATTGAACGGACACACTCGATAATTTCATAAGGCATCAATGAAATTGACGGCTAAACTCGGTCTCACTCAAACCACTCGTTCGACGCACAACAAGCGGAACCTTCCATCCTCTTTTCATCAATTCAACGCGGCAATCAACATACCAATTTCCTATCTGCATGGTGCTCTGCCTTCTCGTGTCTCCTCTGCTCCCCGCCAGCTGGTCCGTGGTGTTGTATCCACGCGGGAGGAGGAAAAAAAGCGAAGAAAAGAGGCGGTAGGACGCGCCGCGGTCTCATCAGTGATCGGCGCACAAAGTCCTCTTTGTTTTCTGAGACCGCGAGATCGGACTTCGTCAGCGGCCGCGCGTCTCCGGGCTCCGCGTCTCGATCGAGTAGACACGCTAATCGATTTCGTGGATGAGGTAAAGGGCACGAACGAGAAGAAAATTGAGAAAGGGTGGCGGGACGCGGATGAAGAAATGTAGATCGAGTGACGTGCGAGAAATGAAGGAATCCCGACAGGAACGGAAATCATTTTCGTGGGCCGTAGTCAATGAACGGGAGCGAACGTATGGCTAATCAATTTGTAAGAATGGTAATGTGTGTTATGAACATTTCGAATATCTTGATTTTGAAATATTATTTGGGTATTTATAAATATAGATTATTATATATAAATGCAGTGGTAATGTTTGAATGCGTGTAATGATGTAACTGTGAATATTAAATGTTATGTACTATATAGTGACTATTTTGTTCGCTGAAAAGTGTTGATTTTTTCTTTGAATTATATATATAAAATTTTAAATTCTATATGAGAAAGAATGAATATTTAATATGAAAGTGTGCCAAAATGAATGGTAATCAGAATATATAAATATTAACTATTATACTGGCAGTATATAAACAAATGGAGGACTTATTTTATGGGGCAGTCATCATAAGAACATCTTAGTGAAGCTGAAGATAAATATGATTTGTATAAAACACGAGTGTGCTTTATATACAAATCTTTGAAATCTCATTGTAAAATAAGTACGTTTCCAGGATTTTTCAGTGACATCAAAAATGAATTTTTATATAAAAACGTGTACTCAACGAGTTTAATTTGTTCGGATATTTCAAGGAATTATACCTTCATCCTTGGAAAAGTCTCATGTAATGACCAATAAACGCAGAATGCATTTGGCAGGGTCGAAGAAAAGTATAAAGTAAAGAGAAGGGACAACCTTTCAGGAAGGACGATTAAGCTAAGTAGGTATTTTAGCGAATACTTCCATCCATTCGTAATTACCAGCGAATAAAAAGGTAATGATACCGTCTCAATGAAGTAACGCGAATCGAGGATCAAGGAAACGGATGAATATCCTTTTAAAAAGGAACTAATAACGCGAGGAGCCGTTACGCATGACATTGCAATTACATGAACATAATTGTTTAATAAATTCCTTTTGTAAGAAGCTCTTGATTTCTGTTTCTAATGATCGCTGAAAAGTATCGTGCAGAGCTACAAGAATTTTTTCAATTTCAACTTTCTTTTACACTTCTGTATAATTTATTGTAAAATAATGATTATTATATTATATTAATATTCCTTTGAAAGGTTTGTTCATGCTTTGCGTAACTAATAAATGTATCAAAATATAGGTGTAATTCACTTAAGGTATAATACATTTAAAATTCTATTAGAACTCATGTCTTTTATGTTCAAAACGTTGAAAATGATTGAAACGGTTTATCATTTTAATAAATGTTTAACAGCCTGACTTCGGTTACTTTTAAATGCTTTGAAATCTCATTGACGATTTTATTTTTGTAAGCTTATTTGTTACAATGGTACAAGGTGGTTTAATATAACTGCAGAAAATTTAAAAGGCAAAAACATATTTGCTTTTTCCCGAAACAATTATTTGTTTATGCATGCTATACTGGCAGTGCTTACGTTCATTTTAGAAAACTGTCATGAAACGTAAAAATACCCTCTCAGATACTAAAAACCAAAAATAGCATTTCGTACTTCAGTTACTAAATCATCACACAAAAACTCCTCACTAAAAACTAAACGCGAAAGTTTAGTTGCGAATCGAATTCATCGGACCGAGAAAGCCCTAATACCCAAAACCCACGTCTATTCACGTGCAACACCAGCAATTCTCCCATCCGCTGGAACTCTAATCATCGTATAATGGAAACAGTACCGTACGAACGGAAAAAAGAAACGAAAGAGAAAAGGAAAATCAATGGTACGAAGCGTAACTATTCAATCGAGGTGGTGGGGAGAAAGAGAGAGAGAGTGGGAGGGGAAGAGGAGTAGAAATAAAGGAAAAGGTTCCAGCGAAGGAAGAAAATTAAAGAGGAACGAGAACAGAGGTCGATCCTCCTGGCAGGATTCGCGGCGAAATCGGCGGTTAGGAACGGCCATGAACCATTTTCGCCCTACGAAGGAGCAGCGCACACAGCACAGACAAAATAAAAATTCCACGAGGTGGTGGAGGAGGAGGAGGCGGGGAGCCGGAGGGGGTGCGAGGGGGGCCGCGAGCAACAGGGAGAGAAGCAAGAAGGAAGAGAGAATAGGACGGACGAAGAGGGAGAGAACCCGGCCAACTTCTCTCACCCGGTTTGGGCTGGCTTGGCCTTCCAAGGGGCCAGCCTAGACTCACGATTCTCATCTCTTGTGTTGGTCCACCGCGAGACGAAAACTCGTACGATGCTTCCCTTTCCTCTTCGCCGTCGTCCGTTTCGTGGTACCCTCTTCTTTCTTCCGCAACGACGACTAACGCGTTCCCTCTCTCTTTCTTTCTCTCTTTCTCTCACATACACATACACAGTTACACTCGTTCTGTCTCCCCTCTTCACCCTCATCCCCCTCCGTCACCACAGTTTCTCTCCCCGTGGCGGAGTCAGTCGCGATTTATTAGGCGAGCTAATTAATAGGCTAACTGGGCGCGGCCGTTGGAGTGTTGGTGGCGCGTCGGTGTACCGGTTCGTGGAAATCGAAGCAACGATTCGCGATTTATTGCCGCGCGAGAGATTCATGATTCCGTGGCTCGTCCGGCGAGCGTCTTCCCGCTTTCGGCCAGTGCCGCGGCGCGGCGCGTCTTTTTTTCCGGCCGGCCGGAATAGAGTCCGAGAGTCCTACCGAGCATCCGCGCCGGAATTCCTTTAATTCGGATGTTCCCGCGATGAGAGATCGATCCTGCGGCTGGATTCCTTTCTGCTTCGTCGTCCTCGGTGCTGTCGGTAATTCCAGCGTTCGGTACCGGAAGATGGATGACTGGTTCGTTTTTAATGGATGAAAACGGAGGAAATGTAAATGCCGGTATGGCAACATTTTTTCGGTGGAATTCGCTGGCCATTTGCGCTGCAATTAACCGTTTGTCCTGTGACTTGTTTCGTAACTGCGCTGGATAGGATAACGTTGTCTTTCATATATTTACTGCAGTTATATTGTGGAACATAGTAATTAATAGAAAAATGGTATTTAATGGGAACCCGAAATAATCGAGTGACATTTAATTTTTGTAACGTTTGGCGACTTCTTGACGAGTTTCAGTTGATATTCCATGACATGGGGTTAATAAATATAGGGCTGAGATGGTTGAATTTCTTAAATTGTTGATCTTGAAATGGCAGACTATCTTGATGACTCAGTGGCAAAGCTTGAGGTCATTAGGGACTGTATATATGTATGTTTCGTTATTTCGTGATTTTTATATGAGATTCTTGATTAAACCTTTGCTTTGTTGTGTTTGTGAGATTTTTGGGTATTATGTTATGTGTTCTCATAAGTTTATTTATTTTATCTTTACTGTTGTGACATATTATGACAGGGAATGCATAAGTGGTCAAAATGGACCTGGAATCCGTTTAGCTAGGATTAAAGTCGTGGCCGGTAGAATCGGATGATGAAATGTACAGTAGCCGCCTAAAATATTGGTACACAAATTTGTAATTATTAAAATAATTGTTTGTGACGCTTTTATTGCATACGTACATAGCATTTTTCTCACTTTTGTTGAAAAAAATAAGTAATAAATAAATATGTTTTATATAATTACCTTTCATGTAGACATATTACCGAATTTCAAATAACATATAATTGCGGTTTATTATTTTTTAGTGTATATATTCGTTTTGTATTGAATAATAATTAAATAGTAATTATATTGGAAGCTTTGAATAAATTAGTATTATAAATGTTATAAATCAGTGTTCACTATAAACTGTCTTGGACTGACAGAAAAAACTGAGGTTATTTATGATTCAACTCAATATAATTATGCTCGTAAATAAGAAGTTAAAGGTCAGAAAGTTCAAAATTCACTGTTGAAAGTGTGATTAAGAATCTGCAGAAAATATATTTTATCATGCGATGAGAATTTTAGTGAAAGCCGATAGCTCCTTCCCAATTTTGAACCAACTGTGTGTATTACAACGATCTCAGGTATGTTAATAATTTGGCTTCTTATTAAAACGTAGACATAAAATAATAGTTTACTTAGTATTAGTATTATATGAAATATAGTATTCCTATTTAAAAACAAGAAGTTAAGGCATATACAGACTTTCTTACGACTTTTTCTATTTTATAGGTATTTTATTTGTCGTATTTGTAAAATTAGACAATTTATGGAATAAAATATAAATAATATGTTTATATTTACGTTAACATTTACTTTTAAACACAACATGCTCTAACATTAATGAAATCAGTGTAAATAATGAAGTAACTGAAGAAATTAAGTAGTATTAATTTCACAAGTAATTTATACATTTATTTTAATGAAATATAAAATCGCAATAAATTATAACACAATATATAGGCAATGAACTTCTATGAAACATATAAGTATCTGAGATTAATTTTTAAACGATACTATTCATGTCGTCTAATGTTCTTAGATATTAAATACATAATGAGAACTTTAAATGAGTAATATCTATTTCTTTTTTACATCCTGTAGTTGAAATAATGGACTACTATAATACAATACCTATAATAAAATAGCGCATAAAATCCTCAAAGATAATGTTCGATCATTTAAAAATTGTTTTATATTTAGAGAAACGAAATCTACAATAAAATTACATGTAATATATTCAACATAATTTAAAAATATACATTCGCTAAATAATTATTATATGTAGTTACTAAGTCAAACAAAAGTAAGCAATAAAATTTGCTTTTATGAACAGAAACCTCATAACTATGATGTAATTGATGGGAAATCGTAGTAGTATGAATATCATGCATTCCATGGATACACGGAGCTCGTTAAAATTTATGGATAAAAGGATTTATGGAAAACCCGCGCTGAGTAAGTCCGCGTTTCCGATCCCTGTTGCGTTCCACCACCCGCTCCAGTCTTGGCGCTTGTGCCACGGGACGTCAGTTGCACGCTGCAGCAATTCAGCGTAAAATCTAAAGCATCGTTCACATCGTCACAACAATCGTCTTCCTTGAACACCTCCTTTTTAACTTGAGCGTCCTTTTTACCGATTCCTGGTCTTGATTTTTCGCGTTCTCCCAGTTCTTCATTCTCTTTAATTCCGCAGTTCAACTGATCGTGATAGTTCATCGCGATCCGAATAATGTGAGTCATTTCTGGACTCGGAGATCGCGTCTCACGCGATTCGCTCTCTCTACTGACATTCGTGCGACAATTTTCTAATATGTCGGAACAGATGCAGTCTGCGATGTTTCGGAGATCGAGATCCGGCAACCGTCGACGGTTAGGTCCTGAAACGTTAAATCGAGTGAATAATAACGGTGGATTTTATAGATCGGCGAGGACGAATTTTTACTTTTTTATTTTATTATAATTCATACTAGAATTACCAGGTGAGCCAAAATAAAACATTTAAGATACTTTTTACAGCTTTGGAAGGATAAGAATGTTTTTCAGAGTTGTTATTAAATAAATCGATTTATTAATGTGCGTTATAAAATATAAAGCCAAAATATAAGTTAATAGAAATTTTAATAAATTTACTCTTGTAATTTTTATAAGAAAATACAAATTAGCCAATTTGACTTTTTGGTAGTTCCAGACTTAATATTCAGTACTTTGGAATTGCGTTCTATCATTTGAACCTTCCAGTCGTGAGCAATTTTTATAGTTGATCATATCAAATTAGAGAAGAAATTTATAGCATATGTAAATATTGCGTTTAAAAAAACACAGGATTGCTATAATAAAAAGGTACTTCTGGGTATGATATATTTTGACATATATTATCTATTTCAATACGGCAAATTTGCAATTCTCGTATCAAGTTCTTATTTTTTTGTTGCAAGCCAGATACTTTAAAAATTTCGTGCAATGCAATAATATTGTGGCCTTCTGAAATTAACATTATAAAAGGAAAGTTATTTCGACATCGCTCGTGGCTGAAGACTTAAAATACATTTTAAGAATCATTATTCACAATAAATTTAATTTTTTACATGTATCTCTATATAGGTACATATAGCAAGCATTAAAACGAAACACGCAGATGAAACCTTAATATAAATTATATTTTATTGACTGTTTACGTAAAAATGTAAAAAACCTAATATTATGTATAATACTTCAACTTTCTACGAAACATATTAAATCTGTGTTACTAATATGATTTTATCTAATACAAATTTTTTTTCATGCAACCAGTTCTGTACCGGAAGAGATTTCCAGCTAATGAAGGGATTTTTGCACATTTAATAACCAGTCCGCTAGCCTTTGCCTCTAATAATAGCTCGAATATGCTTTGACATAGTTACCTAATACCAGATTTCCGTAGTATTCTTGTGTAATATTGTACCACTGATCCTTTCCCACAAGTTAATCAATAACGATGGAGGAGGATTATATTTATTTACTGATTTTATCTTTAATACTTGAACTGAAACATTTTTTATTAGACTTAAGTTGGGACTTTGACCAAGTTATCTATTCTAAAATTTTAAATGGTTGAAAAAGTAGTCATGTTTTTATAATTCTCACAGAATATTTTGTATCGTTTGGTTGTGTTGAAATATTACAGTAAAATAAGTACACACAGTTGCGATTCAGTATATACTAACACATTCCAAATTATTCAAATTTAATTACAACTTATTAAAAATGTGCACAACTACGATGAACAAGGGCCGTATCTGTTCAATTTAAACACTCAGCACTGTTATTTCAGTGCTATATGAAATTAGCAATGGAACAAGGATGTACGAATGCACGAATGTACGAATTTATGTTACGAATCAATATATTACCACATAACAATTTGTTTCTAGGACTGTTTTGCATATGTATTGATTTATTATATCATCTGTTTGGTACAATAGATCTAAATAGATGTAATGTATAACCATTTCATGACAAAACCATTATCGAATTTAATCATTTGTTCCATATGTATACCAAAATTTATTTATCTCCTTTTTTCCAGTAATCAACGTTTATCTGATGAGATAAATCTATCTATTAATTTAGATTCACCTAACCAAATTACATTTTTTCGTTACTCGATAAATACAACTTTTCGTTTAAGTAGTGAAAAAGTAACTTTCGTTAATTCGTTTCATGTTGTTCACTTCTTAAATGGTTTTCAGTATCGATTTTTAATAATTTTGTTGCTATCATTATCTGTGAGAGTAAGTCTCAACTGTTTTCTATAGATGTAAAAATAACTTTGTAACATCGTTTTCGTAGCTTTTTAGTCTTTGATTGACTGACTCCAAATTTGTTTGCAATTATTTATTTTAATAAGTTTCGTTTTAGTTAAGAAATAATAGCGTTCTTAATACTTCGTCTGAATCATAGAATGTTACAGAACATACAATGTGTTGTATTGCAGAAACTATGATAAACCAACCATTAGTATCACTCCGATTACAAATGTTAACAGTACCAGTTGAGAAAGTTTCAATTTGGAGCTGTCGATGTCAGTTATTCTAACGTAGTGATAACTGATTCTATGGAAACGTTTGTATTAACTAAAATAGTAATAGTAATTCTGATTTAATATATATCATGCAGAGTCAAAACATTTACCGTAATATCATGGATGTTGAGTTTATGGCATTTCATATTTAATCATTGAGTAAAGTATAAAACATATAAAGTATCAATAAAAAAGAATAATGGAAATGTGTAATGGGTTGCATTGAATAGGGGCAATATTCTTGCACCTGTGAACAAGCAACCTGTGTTACTTCAATGTAATGAAAGAAATATAACTTCTCGAACCAAGGCAAAATTCTTGATTACCAGATGTATAAATCTATTTGATAGGAACGTTTTAATAATGAATATAATGTAAGTGTAATTATTAATAACTAAGTCAATGAAAATTGAAATCTATTCTACCATTAACAATGACGTGTTTTGTATTTAACTATTTTAAAATCGCATTATACTGCTATAAGGACTTGGGTCGTTAATATGGAATAATATTTAACACTTTCTAATATTTTCAAATTTTTGGAAATTTTAGTTTCTAAACCATTAAATTAATTCGATACTTTTCAGTCTTGTGAAAATGTACTAAAAACTTTCCACCAAACATGTTAATATCTACCTTCTCACTGTACTATCATACAAATTATGATATACAAACATACTTTTTGGATATAATAATTAATGTTCTATAAACCTATGAATACTCGAAAATAATTTTTCAATTATTAAACCCGTAGTCAGAATACACTGTTAATTTAAATTTTCATAGGAAACAAGTTCGATATTAAAAATGGTATCTTTTCATTAAAAAAGAAAGAAACAAAAAGTAATATTCAGGAAGAAATCTCCTTAAAATAAATTCATTTAATACCTTTCCAATTATCAATGCGAAAAAAGCTTCTTCGGGTATTAATCAAATATTCCAGTTTGATCCGAAGCTTATCATTCATTAACAAGACGACCACTGACGATCAAGGAGATCAAAGGAGCTCTATAAACAACGAGCATCTCGTAAAGTATATCCTTATGCTTTCATGAATACCAAGAATGCCAATGAGTAAACGTTCGCCAAAACGGCGGAGTTTGTATTGACCTTCGACAATGTTCTTCGTGCATTCTTCGAGGGTTGGAACTCCTTTCGTACATTCCACGAGCTCTTCGCCCCTTTTGCGTCCGCTCCGGGACTTCCTCGAGGACCTCTTCCTTCCACTGTCAGATTCCTTCTTTCTCCTGTCGCTGTTCGCCGTGACCTTCCCCAGAAGCTCGTCCAGGACGTCGTCCTTGGATTCGGCGGACTCACTCGTCTCATCGGACTTCGAGCGTGAGTTCGCCTGTGATTCGATCAACGGAATTGGACATTCTGGAAGCTCCAACGAAACGATCGTCAGGAACGGCGGCCTGTCCTTACGGATCCTCTCCAGCCAGGATCTATAACTGTTTCGACCGCGATCACAATTAGCTCTGGAGATGAGGTGAATTAGACAAGCCTTCGAACTGGAAAATTGACTTCTGATTTGGGAATGACGCATCGAGGCGACGTTTATGGTTGTTGATGAATATGAATCGGTGAAATATATATTTGTATACAGTGCTTTGTGTTAATGTTTGAGTACTAGCAAGTATTCGTGGTGTATTGGAAGTATGAGTAACGAGGGGTAATTGCTGTTTATGAGTATCGTCTTTGTATAACACACTTGTAGTGAGTGATAAAAAATATCTATGTTTGTAATATTTATTTTTTATATATATTGTATAATTATGTATATATAAAATAATATAAAAATCATTGAAGTATTATTATATTCATCACATTAAAAATCAATACTCATAAATAGATGGACGGTGTTATGTATTTATAGCCATTTTAATCTTCTAAAGTTTAATATAGAATAGCGTTGGTTAAAATGTTGGTAGAAATGTCTCACAAAAAGGAAAACGTCGATACAGTAGAAATTACTTCTATTTATACTGTTTTATTTTATGTACTGCCTTTATTTATCGGTATAAAAATGATGAAAAGCAAATGGTCAAAGATGAATACAGTCTTCCACTGAAGTTGTTTTCTCTGTTGTTCTTCTTTTAAATGTATAATGTTTGTCGTGACTTCCAGAAGGAAACTTTACGAAGAAGTACAGGAAGATCAAAAGAGATAGATAGATAGATAGATAGATAGAGAGACAGCGAGAGAGAGAGAGAGAGAGAGGAAAAGAGAGCGAAAACAAGTTGAATAATGTGTCACGAAAGGGTAGCTGTATTTCTAAGAAGGAAGCTGCGGGACGAGATACTCGTCACGATGAAATTACTAACGCTTTTTGCGTTTTTTTTCCATAATGATCTTACATCACGATGATTCTTAGTAAGAATGATGTTGTTTAATAACGACTACAACCGACACTTTTTGTTTTTGTAACTGAAAGAAACGAACTAAATGCAGTTGACACTATCCACAACATTCGATACATCGACGAACAGGAACAGATGAAAATAGGTAAACTGGAAGAAGTAAAGTTCTAAACGAAAAATAGAAACTATCGCGTGTAAAGCGCTACGACAAGGAATGAAAATTAGAGGATGTCTGAGATACATCAACTAGAAGAAAAGATGGAATAACACGCACCATGAGAAAGTCGGGATTCACGTGGAAATATTGAGCCAACTGGAAACTTGATCTTAGATTATTACTAAAAGACAACATGAAATTTTCTCAGGTATTATAAAAAGATGTGTGTTGTTTGCATAAATAAAATATTATAATTTCAGTTGTTTGACATGATGAAGTATGTGTATACATGTACTTAATTTGAAAAACAATTGTTTACATTTAGATATCATATAAAACTCCTATGAAGTTAATAAAACAAACTGCTAATCAGCGATGAATAATTAATGATAATTAAATAAGTATGATTGGGTTCATATTTTCGCAAATTTATAGATGAACATTTTTTATATTTTAAAGACAAACATTTTTCTCGCGTTATCTTTAATCACTTTAAATTGACATCTTATTATATTGTCTTATCAATTGCTAATGTATATACTCCATAGTTTCAATATTATGAACATATCCATCTCCGGACAGTTACAACAAGAATTCGCCTTAAAGATGAATTTTCTTTCGAATATTTTACTTCATTATCCAAAACCTTCTTTCTGAAAACTAACAAAATCACGCACGGAAGTAAACCAAATAGAAGAATCAGAAAAATTCAAGAAAATGTACTCCATTTAAGTCCATCCATTATGTAAAGCAATTGATTACACTTTCGGTTCGAAGAAATAGAAAGCTCGGAAACACCGGCACACAGAAGTCTCGGTAACGTTCGTTAAATAGAGGACAGAGGTGCATTAAAGAGCAGAAGAGTCGACAAATTGGCCGCGATAACGTTAGTAAAGCCGGAGGAAAGCAACGTAAGAAGAAAGAATTCTTTTTGAGGGCCGGCCGATCTGGTGGTGGATTCACGAGAAATGAGAGCACGTTTTAAACTCGCAATAAACTCGGTAACCTTGCCCGGATCTTGGGCTCAGAGGTCAGTCTCGAAATATAATACTATACTCGTGTCTGGAACGTCGCGGCGGAACGTAGAATAAGATGAATTCCAAAGGGTTGGGGGTGGCGGGGCGAGGCGAGGTAGGAGTCAGAACACGAACAATGAATAAACGTCGGGGCGAGATAGACAAGGACGAAACGTCGATGATAATGACGCCGAGATATTCTCGTGTTTTCGATGTGATAACTGCTTTAATAACGTTATAATACAGGCTGTGAAGGTACGATCGCTTTCGAGGCTTTATTAAGTCGAGCCGCGCTGATCGTTCCTTCTGTGCCGACAGTTAAATTTTAGTGCGTTTAATTACGGGTTTCTACGTCACGTCGACGTATACGGAGACACCGAGAGCGTGTTGTCTAGGTAGCGGTTAATAGTCTAGGAAATTCTGTCTTTAGAGGATTTCACGATCTCTTGGAACTGGTGTTTGTCTTCTACGCGAATGCTTCGTGGGTAGAGAGAATTTTGGTTTCACGATTACAACTTCCTAGTGGTTAATTAATTTATTATGATAAATAAGAGATAAATAGTTTTGAAATCAACTTACTTTGAATGTAGAAAAATGATTGGTAAGGAAGTATAAGAAAATTGAGTTTTGTAAGTTTCTTTGTCAATTTGCGTAAAATACGTTGATAATGAATGAGTTTTTATTGCAGATTGTTTAATAAGTTTGTAGGTTTATGAGATATTGTGTTTGTTAATTCGAACACTGTTACTCCGAGAAAATTCATTGTGAATTTTTATTTATTTCTTTGAAATATTTAAAAATTGTATTCTTAAGATATAGAACTGCGAATAGAATGAGATCTTTTAAATAGTTACTCTTTTCTCAATTAAATAATTATTTAGAGAATGTATAAAGGCTGATGTTAGCTTAATAGTCTTAGTTTACATATAATATATACTTTCATACATTAAAACAAACTTTGTCCTTCTTACTGAGTACATAAATAAGTAAATAAAAGTGAAATTTAATACTACATTAACAAACATTGACTGGTTACTACATATAGTTTAAGTACAAATTTCAATTTTTAAGAGCATTAGAAAAACAGAATTATGGTAGAGAATGGTGTTTCTAATAAAAACTATAAAAATCACTGCGGTTCGAATATTTTATATACTGTTCCAAATTCCATGCATTTTATGCAATGCTGAATTTTCAAATTATCCGTAAATCTATAAAAATCCACAGTCTAGTCATGAATAAAAGAAAGCCCCCTAAAATACCTGAAACTACCTATATTTTCGAAGAATGCAAAACATTACTATCAAACACATTGTATACAAATTTAAAAAATACGATTCAGAGAGAAAAACTACAAAAGCCACTAACATAAATACAATACTAAACTCCAAAGATAACAAGAACGTATTCAATTCCTATCACAAAATTATATACGAAACCGTAGATTGTTAACACGTTGACCGTCATGAAAAACATTAGCCTTTTACGTATCATTTATTCCTTCGTAGCGAAGATAAAACGGAATAATTATTAATTATTTGCTACCACAATTCTTACGTTACACTGTTTCCTAGTTATTTACGCTATAGAACATTTTTATTCGACGTAATATGTTTTATGAATTATAATTGTTTTTAAGTCATTTCGAAGCTCCAGTTCATAGAACCACTGTAATAGCGAAAGTGTTAAGTATTAAACATTGCTAATGACCTCAGATATCAAAGGGACACTATAAAAATTGATTTCAAAGAAGGAAAGCAAGCGACCATTTATAATAATTCTTATCAATCTATTAACGGTATCAATGTACCGAAAGGTTCCCAAGCTCGCAACGTATATCAGTGAGAGAGTGCACGCGTTCTTGCCTCGAGAGTGAGAGACGGAGAAAGAGAATACCTCGAAGATCTCCTGGAGGAGGGTACGTAACCGGCGGTAGGATGACAGATATGGCGTGTCGGTGACTGTGACCTTGAACTCGAGGGTTCCCGCGCGTTCCTGGGGTCCTCGAGCGTGAGGCGCCGAATATAGAGTCCTGGCACCTCCTCCGCGAGCTGATGTCTTCTCCTGTACGAAGCCACAGTGACTGGTTCAACCGATTCTCACCATCGATCATCCGCCGTCGCTCTCCTCTTTCTTTCACTTCCTCTCTTCTTTTTCCTTCCTCTTTTCCTCTTTTTTTCTTCTCTTATGTTCACCCGAGGAATAGTGTAGCTGTGAACTCGACCGATGACCTTGAACCGTGATCCTGAGACGCTGAACGTCGACACGGTTGCTAGCCTTCGCTCAAGATTACTCTTCCGACGAGCAACATAGTTGCAGAATGGACGTTACACGGCAGTCGAATAACGAGTTCCTTATTTTCTCGATTCCGCCAACGATCCGGCGTGATCATATGTTGCGGATCATCGGAGTGGCGTGCCGCGCCGTTTTGCAATTCCTCGGGGTCAGCCCGGAGGTACCTACGTAATTGCACATGGCTCGATTAAATTATACTACTAAGTCGTGGAACGGTAGGGTTAATCGCGTGTTGATCGTGCCAGCTTGTTTGCGCAACGGAAACTATTTGTAAGGAGATTGTTACTATCGCTAACAAGACCCGGTCTACCCGTGGAGAATGAGTAAAATGCAGAGTCGCGGTGGAAAGGAGGTGTATTATGTAGTAAGTATAATGGAGACCGGGAGTTTTAACTTCTCGATGATGGACGTTGTAAATTTGTCCTGATTGTATCTAGATGTTAATAAATTATGTTTCTTATGGGATTGGATGTTTGGAAAATTGAAACTTGTTGTTAAGATGTTAGCGTATGCGTATTAAGGTAAATTGTATTTTATCTCCCTTTTTTAATGTTTTACATGCACACCCTTGCTAAAAAGTGTTTGGTCATTTGTTTGGTGAAGAATGATGTTTGGTTTTGTCATGAACAAAATAAGTTCTTTGAATTATGTAATTATGTAATAATAGCGAGTAATAATTGTAACAGTATTTGTCGCTGAGCTTTCTTTCATAAACAAACAAATATTTTCAAATAATTTTAATCAGATATGCAAAGAATTTCTTAAGTACGAAAAGAATTTGTTTAAAGTTATACTTTCTAGAATTTCAAGCTTATGATCATTTTTTTAAAAATACTAAGTAACAATAATAATTTTATTACTTCCTATTAAATTCCTTATTATTTATATTCATTTCATCTATATGAATTTCATACATATTTCTTGTTCTTATGACCCAGTCATTAATTTTAAAATAAGATCTTCCTACCACAATATTTGTCCACTAAAAACACTATCTTTCTCCTTTGCAAGTTTTTTCACAAAATTATTGTATAAACAATAGTAAAATATTATATTCCATTTCCCGGTGACTTGATATACAGTATTGGAAGAAAGTACTAAAGCACATTGAAATGTTTGCTACAACTATAAAACTTCCATAAGTATTACACTACTGAAAAGAAAATAAATATATATATATAAGATAAGATTCAACGAATACCCACTCAACGTGCCCACTCAAAATACCCACTCAAATTACAACCAATTAATTTTAACAATGTTGATATGGAATTGTATCTCCGGAATAATTCTGCTGCCCACTAAAGCTTAAGTATCATTAAAAGCTTTCACGGTATCCCTAATTAAAATCGACGCGTTTCAAGAATTTCAACTATGGTCTTCGACAGCGTGTTGCACCTGTATGCAGGTCCGAATACCAGCACTCTCCGGAATCCACGTAACCTGGCTTCCCCGTTTAGCAGGCTCGATTCGTGGTTTCTCGTGATCCATCAGCAATAAGGCCACAGATCGACAGGGCCGAAAATCGCATCGCGGCGGGCGTTATATCAAACGGTACATCAGTTTCAGGTAATTCTCGATCAGCAGGTGGTCCGACTTCGGTAGACTGGAACGGCCCTCGCGGAGGCCGGCTCTTAGAAGCAGCGGCGCCGCATTAAAAGCGTTGTTTAGCAGGCTATTTCGAATTTTGTTTTTCCCCAAGCTGGCTGCTGGCCGAGGTGTGGGATAGATTAGTTTTCGACCGCGCGACTGTTGGCTACTTGCCGCGGGGCCTTGACCGACTGGCTCGGTTTTTGAGCGAGCCTCCTCATCTCTTTTGCTCCAGTCGCTGTCGTGCCGGACCACCGGTACCGTTCCACTGAAATGATCATTAAGGGATCTTCCAGTTTTCGAAGAGCCGCCGACTGGATGTTCTTTCATTTTCGGCAAGTATAGTGCGCGTTTAATTTATTTGTTAGAAAAGTTGTCGATTGTTATGTACCGTTGAATGGAGTAGCACAGAAATGAGAAAACTGCTGATGTTGTACTTCAAAGATGTTCTCTTTGTTATTATATATTAAATGTTTTGAATGTTAGATCAGTCAATTTTGAACTTTGGTAGTGTTTTTTTAGGATCATTAATGATTGAAAAATGTTGGATATAGTAGACTTTAATTGTAAATCGCGAATATTCTGGAGTATTTGATTTTTCTATATTTAACCACATAATATTTTTTTTAAGTATTGCAGTAGTTAAAATTTGTGATGAATTAAATAGTTTCTATTTACTTGTACAATATGTATTATTCATTATGCGAGAAAGATTTTGCATGTGCGTGTATGGAATACAATTAAATTACTGAAGATGACGTAATTGTTTGAAAATGTTTAAAAATCAAGTATCATTTACATATTTTAGAATTGATAAAATCAAAATAAGATTGATAAAGATATAACATTTTGAATGAAACGATCCAGGTGTTTTGTCGATAAAATCAAAACTTGAAATGCGTTTTTCTTAAAACTTCTTACGATGGCCGTGAAAATTTGGTCTTCGCTTGACTGCTTAATTTTAAAATTTGCATGTAAATTCCTCATGAGATATCGTATCTGTTAATATTATCATTTCTTAATTTAGTCTTGAGATTTTAGTGATACAGAAAAAAGTGGATTTCTTCTTAAGAAAAACGCAACCTTTCGTGTAATATGTTACTATTTCAGTATTCTTCAAAATCTTGATAGAAGACTAGGTAACAGATAGTTACTGGCACGATTACTGAAATATGTTAAAACACGTTAACAAAACAAGTTTTAAATACTTAATTTTGGATATGGTGCATGGTTGTTTATTGATCATCAAGAAGCTGCTCATAGGTATACTTATATTATTTTAAAACAATTTTTTATAGTTCAAACTTCTATATAATAGATAGAATCTCATCAAATATAAAGAAATAAAAAAAATGTAATATAAAGCGTGTACACAGTTTTTCCCTATGTATGATATTTCTTAACGTAATTCTTTGAAACTCTCTGGTCGTCTGATTGAAGTTAATATTAACAACTGCTGGTCAAGTGATGATTCAACTTGTTAGATGACACATAGAAATCTGAGTTGACAGTAACCTAGAGACAATCGTTGGTAACATACATGAAATCTTCCAAAATATTATTTAATTATATCATTCACAAAAGAATCCGAATTTAGAACATTGATAAGCACGCGTTGTTTACATTGTAAACTGTTAAAAATTTGCAATATTTGCTCTTCTTAATAAATGTAACTAGTGGTTTATAATTTCGTAATTAATAAAAATATAAAAAATCTCTTATAAAGTGCTTATTTCTAACAACTGAAAATTCCTATTGAATAAAAAAATTATCACATTAGAGAAAATTACGTATTCTTCTTTATTAAAAAATAAATCCTTTATTAACATTTTTTTATTTTCATTTTCATTCGTCATTGCGCTGGACCACGGATACATTTCACCGAAATGGCCATTAATTTGTAACGATGTTTCGCGCATGAGTATTCGGTGTCTGTACTGAAAACGTGCGGCAGCTCGAGTTAATCGGCGGAGGAGCGTTAATGACGATAAAATTGGTGATTAACACGAGCGCCGCGAGACATATTAATGGGTTCTAGAGGGAATTACGTTTCACGGTAGCAAACGCTTGGTGATATCGGATCGGCGAGTACGTTCAGCTTTTAATTACGGCACACTCCTGATGAGTTTATCTTCTATTATAGAAGAAAAACACTGTTAAAGAAGAATAGAAGTTGTACGTACAGACTAAATCTGCAGAGACAAAGAGGATACAAAATTCTAGATAATGAATTTGCAACATATAACCGTCGCCCATGAAATATGCTTCAACACTTCACTACCAGAAGCATACAAATTATATTGTTTATTAATTAAAAGAATATTCTGTAGAATGTATGTACATTTCTTTAACATGTTTTTTGTCTTTTTCGTTTATAATAATGTTTATATTTACATGGGGTTTTACATTTGTCACTGTTATAAATACTTTGTTACGTTCATATGAAACTTACGTAATAGACATATAGCCTCATATACACTTTTATTATTTCTATGTACAGTAACGAATTTGTTGCAAGAATTAACCTGTTTTTTAAAAAACACAACTCTCAAGTTATAAGCAGCTATTATCATAATAATTTAATACCTATCGCTATACCTTTTTTATACCTCAAAGCATGTTTGTCACTTTCAATACTTTTTAAACATAGCCGATGGCAATGCATAAAAGTTACATCAATATCTGCATGTGTGACTTCGGTATGTTCCCTTGTTAGAGAGATATTCTCACAACTACCACAGCAAATTAAAATATTTAAGATTAATAATAAAACCGAATAAATATCGTATTTTATTGGTTTCTAGAAAGAAAGTTTATATCCTCCTATAAATATCGTACTAAAGAGTTTCTGAAAAATGCCGTAAGCTAAGAATATTACGTGAAAGACGTTGCTATCAAAATGTTAACGCAGAATCAGAGATCGGTAAGCTTCTTTCGCGACAATTCTCGGTAACGAGAAACTTAAGTCGAGAATTAATTCAGCCCGCAGTACTGTTTCACTAGTAATCAGATAACCCGAACGAATTCGAAGAGCTCCGAGTCTGCATCGACGAAACGATCATCTTGCATTATCATCGTCCTGACCGTCCTTGGTCCAAGGAAACGATCGTACCGCAGCGTAACACGATACAAGCGGAATCCGTAAGTAGTGCTCCTCACGCTCGATTAGCGTGACGAATCGATAATGAGCCGCGTTTCAATTTTAATCGATGTCAAAAGTTTGTCCCCGCGAACAACGCAACGACGTTTAGGACTATCCCGCTGGAGCACCGTCCGTGGAAAAAGAAATCCGCCTCGGGTAACTCGATCTGCACGAACACCTACGAAATGGAATTATACCGGCTGACACGCCATGAATTTTAATCGACTTTTAATCTCCATGGACCCGTCGTTATGTTTCTGGATTGTTTGATCCTTTCGCTTTTCGCGGTGCAATGTTTTGTAGACTCGTCTAGTCGAAGTATGCAGAAAACATTTTTATTTGGAAACCATTGTTGTGAGAATGCTAGAGAAGCTAGGTATTTTGATCTTTCGTCTTCGATGAATTTATATCAATAAGTTCTGCAACCGTAGTTCTCATTTATAATTACCACGTGTTATATATTATTACATTATATTTTACGTATTATAGAAACGCTGAGTATTCTCATCTTTCAGCTTCAATGAATTCATATTAACAAAGTCTGCAATCTTATTTCTTATTTATAATTGTTATGTTTCAATGTTATGCATTACTATTACATCATATTCCTCTAATGAAGATTTATGTATCAATCTAATTAGGTTAATGGAATTCTATATTCTTTTTTACTCAACGCTTTAGCTTCATACTGAATTTGTTGATATTTTTAAAAAGTAATTCAGATATTGTATATACGTAAAACTGAGACTGTATTATAAATATGCTTCCTTGGACTAACACTGAGTGGAAAAACTTTCTACTTTTATTTTCGAAGAATACGTCCACGTGTATTTTACAAATCTTTAAATTTTCAAACTTTTCCTTTTTGATGGAATTTTGGTAAGAATAGCATAGAAATGGTCAGATGATGTAATATTCGATAAAGATGACGGATGAAGTAACAAAGCAAATATCAAGTTTTGACGATTAGTTAGAAAAAAATACAAACCCTAAATCTATTCTAGTGAAACGCGATATTTTGTTTCTTAACCCCTTGCAAAATGATTTTAATATTATCCAATAATTTACAAAAACACAATAGAATTTTCTTTGTTTATTAGTTACTTAAAGTCGCATCAACTACTTGTATGGGTTATTAGCGATAGAAGTTTTCTGTTCGATGTAAACATACGTTTATTTTGGACATAAAACACTAATAATAGTAAAAGTCTGTTATTTCAGCTCATGCACAATAAATAAATGATAAAACATTCATAACAATAAAACAGTCTTTTACTTTGACCCATACGCAATAAATATCATTCATTTTTATTCAATTGAGGTAGAAATCTTCACCGTGGAGCTCACTCGTCATTATACAGCAAAGGGTTAGTTTTGCAAATTTTTAGCCAATCATTGTATAAGTTGTCCAACTGTGAACAGTACATTCGAGTTAATCGTTTGATTACCTGAAAAAAGATTATAATATGAGATATCATTTCAATCCTATCAAACATACAACATGACCTTTAATGTATGAGGACCAGATTCAGAAGTCGTTAATGTTCTTTCATTCCTTAGGTTCATAATCTCTTATATTTATTTTGTTTTATCCTGTCTACTTCTCATCTCTACTCATCATTCTCTTCGAAAATGGATCGTATTTAATTTAACCGTATTAATTTAATATACCAATGTTTGTTTCAGCGACGATCTTCTCGGCTGTAATATTTTATTCAATTCAACGAATATTGTAAACAAAATAATGAAAAAGAGAAACTAAAACTGTTTCTAAATTTTAGTTTCTAAATATAATGTCATGTCTTCTAACTTCAAATAACAAGACCACTTGAAACAATTAGATCACAAATATTTTATCGAGATAATTAAATTCCATTATAATTTTATACATTTGACGGCAGCAATATAATAATTAGACAGCAGATCTTTATGCAAATTCAAGTATTTAAGAATATAATTAGAAAAATAGAACTATTGTGGAAAATGATTATTCTTACCAGATTATAGCAATATTATTGGTACTTTTACTATTATTACTTACCAATATTAAAGAAAGCACTACACTTTAGATATTTTCTAAATTTGTTTGTTTCGCATGCATTCTGTGCAATTTTACATTTTCAAATTTCCCATAAATGCATGAAAATCTACAGTCTAATAATAATTCTATCGATCATAATCATATCCTGATACTGACAGTACAAATACTGAAAATGAGGCGGGATATTTGAATAGGCACGCCTGGAAACCAGGAAACAATTCATGAAAGAGGAATTCCTCGTTCGACGCCATTATCGGAAGATCACCGTTCGGCCGGGCATCGATTCGCAGATCGATCTTCGTGGGTGGACCATCGGGTCCGCAAACGCTGATTCGCCAAAAGAACAAAGACACGCGGAACGAAACGCGCGCGGTTCGTTGCGGGGATAAAGAAGTGAAAACGCGCGAGGGACGAGGACAGGGAGCAAAAATAGAATAGTTCTACTGGCGGGAAAAAGAACGACGAGAGCGGGGCGGAAAGAAAACAGAGAAAGGAGGCGAAACAGAGGAAGATGCCGATCTCTTCGCAGAATATGTTTACATTAAAGGCGCGCCTTGAAAAAAAGGCCGGGACGAACCGCAAACTGCTTAACGAGTCCTGCTCCTTTCACCCCCGACCGCTCACCTTTCCGCTTCTACGCGATGCCACGAAGTTGCATCGCATGCACCCACACGGCAGCCCGGAATCTGAACGGCGATGGACTCGAGTGGTACCAGAAACGAACAAAATTCCCTGCGATTCGACAGATAACCGACAGAAACATTCATAAGTTGCTCGCAAGAAACCGAAGTATTCGTAGAATTAATTTTATGCAACATTTAAACCGATATTCCACGCAAATTAATATAGGAAAAAATGTTTACGTCCCGTACTTTACTAACTAATTGGTATAGAAATTCATAACAGTGTAATTGCCGCAATGACTGGTTTATGGTACAGTGAAAGAAAATTTCAGCTTGAGAAACCCTTACCGATATATTCACGTAATTGCCTCCCTCTACTTTTACGTCTACACGTTAATGTCTTTACATGAACGTAGAGTTATTGCAGTTCTTTTATTTTCGCGCACGCATTACTGAATAATTACCTGGTATATCCAGAAATCTTGCTGCTCATTAAATTTTATACGCCAATTAGAAATCTTAGAAGTAATGACTTACTATTTATTGGGGATTATCGTACTTTATCGAGTAAATGTAATTTCATAAATTGTTTGGCGGCTCATGTGAATTTGTACATTTTGAGCAGTAACATTTTCGTTTGTTTTTAGTTGGCTTAAAGGAGCAATGCTTCTCAGTATTGTCTGCAGTTTCGATGTAGGTTAGTTTGCTTCATAGCTTGGTTTTAGAAACTTTATATCTAATTTTTCCTTTTGCTTCGTATTATACGTTCTTTCAATGTAAAATGTTCTTTCTTTTGTTTGTGTTATTGTCTCTTTAGTTTCTTGTTATATGCTTATTTTATACATACATTATATCACTAACTAAATAATAGATACGAATGTTTACTTAAAGAAATTTGTACAGCAATATGTATAAAAGGAAACAAAACTTATTTTATAAAAAGGTAATTTCTAGTAAACATCCCTTCGTATTGGATAGTTATAGTATAATACAGGCAAATCAACTTTTATTTTACAGAAATATTAATATATTTACTTTCTTTTATTATTTATTGAAATAAAATAAGAGAGTTATATTTTAAGGAAGAAGTAATTATGAAAAAAAGAACGTATTGTTTCATATAATATTCCAGATAATGTTGTTTCTTGTCTGCTGCACCAAGCTTATTAATTTTTTAATTCATTCAACGCCATTTATTTTGCATATTCAAATGCTTCACCTAGCCAACAGTTTAGAAATTAAAAGTTTCTAATGTTAATAAATTTCTCAAATATTAAAGTAATTTTATTAAGTTTTACATTCGCGAACTCTATTTTTATTATTATAATTATTACTCTTTCTTTTATAGTTAATTCAAATATAAATGGGACTTGACAAAGGCATTTGCATCTAGGATTTTACATTTACGTAATGTTATATTACCACTGAATTATACTAATTTATTCAACGATATGTATAAATTAAAATTTCAGCTATTAATAAACAGAAGTTATATCTATAGCACAGTATCCATAAACCATGAATCTCTTTTATTGCAAATGAAAGTTCTCTTGACGTCAATAAATTACATCCATGAATATATAAATAATACGGGTATATATCTATTACGTACTGTAACATGAACATATTAACGTTATCAGTATATTCATTATTACCAATTAAATGTAAGGTTTATTAGATCTGGAACATAGTCTCTCACAGTTCTCACGCAATAATCAACAAAATAATAACTAAACAACTGATAATATCTTTCTTAATATTAAACATAATATATTCCAATATCATTAAGTGTAACTATCCATTTATCACTAATTAGCTACTTCTATTAGTATCAGTATCACGAACAAATCGGTACGAACACTATAAATAGAAAAAATCCATATTCAACACTGACCATACATGCTCGACGAATTTCCAAAACCACCTTCCCAAATACTGGAACAATCCGTTAACACAGTATTCTGTTTACATTTCTACTTTTCCTACTTATCTCCCCAGGCAGTATCACCCTTCCCGGAATTACCAAGTTCGCTACATTAAATGCGTATTTTCCAACTTATGAACGATATTTAATAACACTTTGCAACTAAACTGGTCGGAAAGTTGCGAAAGAAAGAACCGAATACCCATAATTAACCGTAGGTAGTTCACGCGCACATGTACGACATGCTTCTTCATCCGTTGGCTAGGACGCGTAAGGATGTCCAATGTGTGTGCGCGCGCGCACAC